CCCCCCCCCCCCCCCCCCCCCAGGGAAGCTCTTTCGCTTCAGGGCAAAGGTCAGTGAAGCCATGGAGCTTTCAAGGCCGGTCTCCTCGCCGATTCCGGGAGCAGTCGTGGGAAGACCGTCTAGTATAGGGGCCTAAATAAATACCTACAGGGTTTGGGGGGTTCCTTATTATAATTATAGCATAGTGGGCCCCACAACCCTATTCTAGTTATTTAGGCCTCTAAACCCTAAACCCCAAAAGCAACCTTATAGAACCCCTTAAGGAAACCCATATTCGGTCAGTGCAGTCTCTGATTGTTTCGTTCGACTTGGCGCCGAGGCCTCGGGGCGAAGGCAGCGGACGGAACATGCGCGGTGCCCAAGTAACAGGGTTTGGGGCCCGCTATACTATAATTATAATAAGGAGCCCCAAAATACTATAGGTAATTATAATGAGGATTATACTATAATTATATTGAGGAACCCCCGAAATTATTCTTTTGACGCCTGTGATGTCAGCTTCGGGGCTCTCAGCCAAACGCTGGGTGCGTGGGCGGAATCCTTGTGCCGGGTTAGGGAATGAGCCCTTCATTCGCAAGCGAATGGGATTTGAGGGACCATCAGTGCATCCTGTCTGCTCTGCTTCATTGCCACTGACGTTCGATCCCTAAGCAGTCATCAAAGCCGATGAAATGGCACACCATGGCTCCTCGAACCTACACGCGGCCTTCTGAGGACACAACTCCGCTACTGGCCACCTATCTACAGTTTACACGCGTCATCCTGCTATATTGCCAGCTATGCTGGGCCCATTAATGCGTGTAGAAAAGATTGTCCCTTGAGCCACATTGTAAGATAATGCACCTGAAGGCTGCCCGCTGGCCGTGCTGCAATCGCGTTGAAAGAAACGCTGCATCCTACCAGGAGAAGCCTTTTCCCAGATTTCCGATTTCAAATATCCTACCATCCAGGATGTCCAAGACTTCCCCAAACCCGAAGCCGCCAAACCCGGCAAAGCAAACGCAAAGTGCTAAAAGCATCAAGCTCTAAACCCCAAACCCCCCAAACCCCCAAACACCTAAACCCCTAAACTCCAAGGCCCCTGAACCCCAAAACCCTAAAAACGCTAAACCCCCTTAAACACTCGAATCCCCCGCTTCGAAGCACTTTACAGGAGCCCCCCATTGAAGGGGGGATCGGATCCTCCCAGGGGTCTGGGAAGCTTCAAAGCTTCGTAGAGCCCAGGACCGCCATGATGTGGGCCGCCAGGCATGGCTTGGCCGACATGGCTGCTCAGTGAGGATAGGGCTTGGGGCTCCTCAAAGGGATGTATAAGGAGTTAAGGGTTTAAGGGTTTAGGGTTGACCGGTTTAATGTAGGGGCCTGAATAATTGGCAATATTTTTTGGGGGGTTAATTAAAATTATAGTATAATGGGCCCCAAAACCCTATTCTAATTCTTATGGCCCCTACATTAGGGCTTTGGGGGTTTAGGATTTGGGAGTGGGACAAGTAGAACAGGGTTCAATAGGTTCCTTTGAGGGTTTCTGCAACTGGTACTGTGAAGTTAGTGTTCGGGCCTGACTAGTTACCAATACTCTTCAGGTAGGGTCCTTAAGATAAGCAGTAGTCCACCCCACAGCCCTGTTGTAATTGGAAAGTCTCCGTAATAGTCATGTTGGCATCAGGCAAACTGACCTTCAGAGCAAGCGTCATCTTTCTCGACACACTAGCCACCCTGGTTAGTCATGATGTTTCGCCATGTAACTGCTAAGCACGTACGAACACTACTGGTAGTAGGACAAACCAGATCAGCACCACTCGTGCTCATCATACTACAACAAAGAAGAAGAGGAAGCGCATCTCTGGCAATATCTCTGTGCGGCTTTGCGATCGAAAACTCCGTCATCGCCATGACATGGAGGGTGTTCTGATCTCGGGGTTTCAGCATGGTTCTAGAGATGGCAAGCTGATGTTCCCGACATGTGGCTTTAAGGTTCAATGTGTGGCCTGGTCTGTTGAATTGAGGGCTTACGCTCGCATCCCTCAAAAGCCTCCAGAGGCCTGGGGGATGAGGTTGAAAGGTTGAGTGCCATGATATACGACTCTGGAGGTCAACCTACCGCCCCAGGTTCTCGAAGTTGACTTGAGCTTTTGATGTGCTGGAGTCAGGCGAGGCCTTTCTTTCTGGCTTCGCACCCCGAGTGCTCCCAAACGTGTTTACTTCAGACACCCAAACGGCCAAGAAAGACTCTCGAGTAGCGCCTTCGAAAGGCAAATGAGAGCTGGTCAACATGATGATCTACTTCAGTAGCATTCTCAAGTTCTCATCATAAACTCCACCTGAACTAGATTGTGGAGCCGGCCCTCCCTATTTTGGTGGTTCATTTATAGCATGAACAAGAATATAGATAGATTGTTCAGCTGAGTCTCAGGTCCGGCTCCTGGGTACCGCAAATGCTGATGTGAACTTACGTTCGGCCCTCGAAGGAAGCGACAGGGTGTAACCAACTGTGGGACATAGTATATGCCCTACATGGGTAGTTGTCAAAATTATGGTCCCTTTTTGGGTACCCTAAATATTAGGTGCCGTATTATAGTAAGGACCCAAAAAGGGACCATAATTTTGACAACCACCCACATGTGGAATCCTCAGTTGCTGTGGACCCCTACATAGGATTAAGAGGGGAGTGATGGCGCTGTCGAGCTCCTGAAACCCGGGCTGAAAATATTCGGAACTCGGAATTATACAACCTAGTATTATATAACTGTATATAATACAATCAAGTATAGTATAGTATAGTATAGTATAGTATAGTATAGTATAGTATAGTATAGTATAGTATAGTATAATGCAGTATGCAAAAATTTTGAAGCTTTATTCCAACAGCTCCGAACTCAAAAACCCACACCGAAAGTGCTTTCCGAGGCGACTCGAGAGGCTGGACGGCCGCACTCTGGGGGCCTCTTGGCCAAACTTGATCTGCTGACTAATATAGGGGCCTTAAGAATTAGAATAGGGCGAATAGGGTTTTGGGGCCAACTATACTATATTTATAATAAGGAACCCCCCAAAATAGTACAGGTAATTATTAAGGCCACTGCATTAGACACAACCATTATTGGAGACAGTAGTCGCAATCCTCATGACATGTCCAACTAGAATCAGTCTCAAGAACATTATTGAAGGCAATGGTAGCCGCAGTGGTAGTCGTCGGTCGTCTTAGAGGTAGCAGCAAAAGCAGGCTGAGCAGTACACATCCGAGGTCCCTCCGCGGTGATGTGGCGGCCTGAGGACACATGCTCGAAGCGGTTTGTGTGGTCTTTTGGGTCCGTTGTGCAAGATTGCGCCATTTAGCAGAGGCGTGGCTCTCTGCACCAACCGAAGCCCCCAGCATTCAATTTCTACTCTACCAGCTTTTCAGAGCCTGCGATGCCGGGAAGGACTTTTTTCAGAATGTGTTTCTCTGCCGACGCCGGGCAAACGGCTTGGAGTCAGACATCGATATGCTGGTGATACTCGAAGAGAGTCGCCTTCGGCATGAGATCGCGGTACCATGTTCCGAGCAGAACCATGGAAATTTCCGGCATTTGCTTTCCAGATGACATCTCCGGTAGTTTTGAGTCCATGGGGTCCGTTATCCCACAGTGGAAGGCCTCCATTTTTTGGAAGGCACAGATGCATAAATGCGCAAAGCATGGTGTGCTGTCGCGCAAGCTGCGAGGCTGAGACAATCTCGGTCCTCTACCACTTCAAGGCTCAAGTTCCAAGCTTCACCACAGCAATGCAAGCTTGTCACGGCAAGGAGTGTTTATGTCGAAACCTCTTTAGTCTCTCCTTAAGAAAAAGATAGGTGGTCTCAGGGGCCTTCGGATGCGTAGACAGGAGTTTGGACATGGCACCAGAGCGAACGCAGGCCGATCTGCTCCAGCGAAGCTGGGAGGGTGACTCGCCGGCCTGGGCCTCAGCCTCCGCAGCGGACAGAAGCATCACACCAGCAGCACTTTGAGGGGTGTCGGATCTCGGGTCAAGGGCTGGAGGACATGCGGAAACGGCTTCCTCTGACAGCTCAGCCCGTCGTTTGCCCATTCACCTGGCCTGGCAGCGCTTCCCGAAGAAGACCTAGCCAGCGCTTGAGCTCCTGAACCGCTCCGAAGCCACCTGCCGGCCGAGCCCAGATGCATCTCACAGTGCGCTGCGACTTTGCCGCTGCTCTTCAGTGCCCTGTCAGCGATGGCTTCGGCGATTCCGTGTCCTCCTGGAAACAAGGTGTGCCATCAAATCAGGCCAAGAAACGCTTCCCAGTGATTCGTGCTAACACCCGGGTTACGCCCTAGTGCGGCTTGATGAGACAGACCGCAAAGTATTCTTGAATGTGTTTAGCTCGTGCTTGAGCTTCGGGCTGGGTGCTTCTGATATAGAGTCGGAGCTTGGGGGGTCTACTTGATGGGAAGTTGGTCTTCAGGTTCCGGTAAGCGATGTGTTGATCCTGATACAAGATAGATGAGCACGCTTTGAAAGGTGCAGGGGTTCTGATGGGTTTGTGATTGAACAAAGGTCTGCACGTGCACGGAAGTATCTCCTGCACCACGAAGAGTTGCTTCCTCGAGGTGCCTTCTTGCAGCGGACGCCAGCATCGAGGAGCTCGAGGGCACATGTAGCCGACCTCGAAGTGCCCAATATATATATATATATATATATATATATTATATTATATATATATACCCACTGCAGCAGTCCTTCAGCCAGCTGCAGCCTGCGAGGAGCGCAGCATCCAGGGGCAGACACCCTTGCACGTGGCCGCGGCGTGCGGCAGCCGCTGGTTGGCAATAGCCTGTCTTGAGAAATGCGTGAAGCATCTGCCTGAAGGTTCGTAGTACCTGGTGTATATCTCGGGCTCCTCAACAAGGGTCACGTAAAGAAGGCCACATGCGAATATTTCTGCTGCGTCACTTTGGTTCTGCCTGCAGAATCCTGCAGATGCTGCTTTTTCAGTAGTCATACTACTGCTACTCGTCTCCCACTTCTCCTCCCCAACTTGTTTTCCTATGGCACACTTGTTTGATGATCTGGGCTTTAGGCTTTAGGGTTTAGGGTTTAGGGTTTAGGATCTGGGTACGATGTTAATCTTGTTCGCGCGGCTGTCAAGGCACGAAGTGCATGCTTGCGGCGCTCTCAGTATGATTGACAGTCGCAGCAGGATCTTGCAATCAGTTCTGAAGCCCCTAAACGGACGCACGCCAAGCCTTGAGGTCTTGCTCCATTACGGGGCCAAAGTAGCTTTCAAGGACTGAGGGAGCGCTTCATGCAGGTCTTCGGGCCATTGTGCAAAACGAGTCTTTGCCAGGCTTGAGTGACTGAAGGCCCGAGCCAGGCAATACGGGACGCTGTGCAAGAGATGACTTCAGGGCCCGTCAGAGTGACTCTCTCAGAACTGGCCTGAACCAACTGCCCATTGTTTTAAGGTAAGGTCACATATACATCTGGTACACGATAGAGCTCAATACCTGGTGCGTGTACGGGGCGAGAGGACAGAGATGTGCAAGAACTTCTCTGCTTTTTTACCCGTTTGCTTGCCTAGCTCGCGCCCAGACCCTAAACCTGAAACTGCCCCAGGAAACCCCCCCAAAGCAGCGTATCCGTGTGCAGCAGCGGCCCCGGTCTTGAGGACAAGCTGGATCGCACTGCCATCCTCATTGCAGCTTGCGGCGTGAGCCCCAAAGCCTGCGAGGCACTCGCCCTCAGTCGAAACTTGGGAACTTGGGAGGCGAAATTTAGGGGGTGTTTTATGACTGTCGGGAGGTTTTCGACTTGGGATCTATGTCTCCAAGTGTAAAGCTTCCTTCTAGCTGTGTACAGCTGTGGGTTAGAGGGCGCCAACCTGCTTCCAACCTGAAGCTTCGGACTTTGAGGAGTGTGGAACCTTGCAGTTCAGGATGAGTTCGGGAGTGTAGGGTTGGGCTGGTAAGTGATAGTGGTAGGGATGCCTTTAGGCCGACCAGCGCGAAGAGTTGACGTTCGCAGTCGCAATTGATAATCTGGAATAGCGGTTATAATCGATCACCAAGTCCGTATTGTCATAATTTGCGTACCCTGCTTTGTTCCCGTCGCTTAGCGGCCTCAAAAGTTTGTCTCTTGGGCGTCCGGGCATTTTGAATGCAACCTTGAGCCACAACAGCTGAAACCTAGACCTGCTAGTTCACCTGAATGCCTGAAATCCTGTCAGAGCAACCTGAATCTTAGAAGGAACAAAGGCAGCTGTCCTCCTCTCGCGACAGCCTGAGCCTTCCATTTCGTTGAACCTACAAAAGCCGTGGGGCTTCAACTCCCCCGACGCAGGCGCAGAGCCCAGAATGCCTAATATGCTTGCAAGAATTACATTGCAATATACCCCCCAAAACCCCAGTCTAGTTGTGAAGGCCCCAATACAGTACTAGTGCACATCGTCACCACGTGCCGCAGATACTGACTGCGGCCCGCCTTCCCGTCCGGGCCTTGGGGTGTAGTCGCCACTTCGGACGCCTCGGAGTAACCGAAGACCTTCAGAGGCCTTTGGAAGAGGGGATTCCTTGATCTTCCCCAAAAAAGGCATAAAAAAGGTCTTTAAACTCATATCAGGGATCCTGCTGTGATTCACGCGGGCAGCTACTTTGGAAGAGCTCGGCAAGATCCGGAAGCTAGAGGTTGTAAAAGTGACATTGACAAAGCCTCTGCTTCTCGAGCCGAGCTCTCTAGATTTGAATGAGGGTCCCTTTTAGGTTTAGAGTCCACTTCATAAGGGTGCCGTGCTGTTTGGGGAACCCGGGGGGGGGGCCTGGTTTCGAGAGCTGGCTACCTGGGGCCTACAAGTTGAAGGGTCATGGGACTTGGGTTTAGGGTTTAGGGGTTTAGGGATTTAGGGTTTAGGGTAACTAAGGCTAAGCGCACCTTAGCTGGGGCCATAATTATGTGAGTCTAAGTATGGTTACCTTGCTTATAAAATTAGCTACTAGGCCACCTTACGAGGTCCCAGGCTCCTGCAAGCCCCAAACCCCGTAGAGACCCCGCTTAAGAGCGCTCAGAATGAGCGCTGACGCTGCGTTCCCTGCAAGCCGCAACCCCAATTCCCGACAACCTCTGTAGGGCTTCGGGGTTAGATGAGGTTAGGGGTTTAGGGTTTAGGGATTCAAGGATTCAGGGTTTAGGGTTGAGGGTTTGAAGGTTTCGGTTTAAGTTCTGCGATGTATCCCGAACTGGTTTGCTAAGGACATATTCAAGCATGGCTGAGCTCGAAATACAATCACGGCTTTTAACTGCACGACGGAAGCATTGTTGGAGTCCAAGCCAATGCCTTTACTGCTCAAGCGATGAGCCGTGCATGCAACCTCACTCACTCAGGCACTTCCTGTCAACTGCCACCTTATGAGTCTAAGGGTTTCATGTTTAGGGTTTAGGGCATACAACCATGTTGCACCCGAAAAATAAGATGCCCCACAACCCGAATCCGGTTTTCAACCTTTGTGCAGTTTGGGGTTTAGGGTTAGTTTCCGCCGTGCATTATGTCGATTAACGTGCGAGTGGGATTGGATTGCTCAGTGGCAGGACAGCCACTGTGACAGCCTAGTTGGATGAACAAGTGGGCGGCCTTAAGCGTCGCGCAGAGGCGGCGCTCGAAGTGGGGACAGGGCGGCTAGTGGACTCATCTGGAGGCATTCTGGATCTATGTTCGCCGATCAAGAGCGCCCGCCTGCAGGATGGTGACTCACTGGTCTTGCAGGTAGGCAGAGTTGAAGTCCAAGCCGTTTGTGGATCCTTTTTTGTTGCGATTCTTAGCGATGGATCGATTGCGATCAGCGGTAAATCTGACCACGGTGGTGACCGTCGTGTTGCACAGGACCAGCTGAAGAATGTGCAGCAGATTCAAAGCAATTGTTCGGCTGTTGCTGCAATCCTTGGCGACGGATCCGTCGCCACCTGGGGCGAACCTTTCCGTGGTGGTGACAGTAGTTCGGTGCAGCACCAGCTGAAGAATGTGCAACAGATCCAAGCCAATGACGAAGCTTTTGCTGCCATTCTTGGCGATGGATCTGTGGTCACCTGGGGTCTAGCTGAGGAGGGTGGTGACAGTACAGCCGTCCAGGGTAAGCTGACTAATGTGCAGCAGATACAAGCCACCGGCGGCGCTTTTGCTGCCATTCTTGGCGATGGATCCGTCGTGACATGGGGTGACCCTGCCGCCGGTGGTGACAGCAGCAGTGTTCAGGGGCAGCTGAAGAATGTGCAGCAGATCCAAGCCAACCATTACGCTTTTGCTGCCATCCTTGGCGACGGATCCGTCGCCACCTGGGGTGATCCTTTCCGTGGTGGTGACAGTAGTTCGGTGCAGCACCAGCTGAAGAATGTGCAACAGATCCAGACAAATGACAACGCTTTTGCTGCCATTCTTGGTGATGGATCCGTCGTCACCTGGGGTGCTGCTGACTCTGGTGGTGACAGTAGAGCCGTGCAGGACCAGCTGAAGAATGTGCAACAGATCCAGGCCAAGCGCGACGGTTTTGCTGCCATTCTTGGTGATGGATCCGTCGTCACCTGGGGTGATTGGCAAAAAAAGAGGGCAAAGGCTAGGGCAAAGCCCAAGTCAAAGCCCAAGGCGAAGACCAAGGCGAAGGCCAAGGCGAAGGCCAAGGCAAAGGCCAAGGCGAAGGCCAAGGCGAAGGCCAAGGCAAAGGCCAAGGCAAAGGCCAAAGCCCAGGCAATGGTGCCTGCAGTTCGCAAGAGACCCGCTGCAGTTCACAAGAGACCCACTGCAAAGTAAAATCTCATTCTGTACTAGAGCGTTCGTCCGCAGAGTGGTGAATGGAAAAGTAGACCCTAAACCCTAAACCCTTAGAGGAATCCTTCAAGCGAACCCTCTTGTAGAGCCCTATGGTGCCCTTGGCAAGGAGCTTTTAAACCCTTTAGCTACCACGATTTGCCGGATTCGCACCAGGACCTTCCGGAGCTGCCCATCCGCTTGGAACAAGAGAACTCGGTCATCCAAGAGGCGCACGACACGAGAGCCGAAAGGGTTTTGGGTTTTGGCTTTTGGCTTTTGGGTTTAGGGTTTAGGGTTTAGGGGTTTGGGGTTAGGGTTCGGCTAGCCCTCGGAACTTAGTCTGGCAAAGGGCTTGCAATCACTTGGGTCTATAAGGACTTTAGGAGGGACCCCGAATAGGGACGCTTAATCCCATTACCTTAAATAACCGTTGTATAGTCCCTATATACCCCTTATATAGCCAGGTAGTCTCCGTATTAACCCCAATAACCTACAAGGGTCCCCAGTAAGGGTCCCTATTAAAAGCCCTTAGAACTGGGCACTTCAGAACGAGGGGCAGCGCGAGGCCACGATTCTTTTGCGCAATTCCTTACCTTTGGTTAGTAGGGAATGGAAGAATGGGGTACAATTATACTAACCAAAGGTAAGTTCTGCGCAATTCGGAAGCATTGGGGACGGGGAAAATGTTTTGAGCTTCTTCGAACACAACCCGTCCGAGTGTACGAGTATACTCAACTCCGCTTTGATCCAGGAGCCGGGTAACGGATCAGAGCTGACGGAGGCTGGGCACGCTGCTTCAAGGTTATAATGTTACATGCATGTACCGGGTGCACGACGGATAATTCGTTAATCTTGCAAAAGCATAGGTCGAAAGCTGGTTTCCGGAAGATAAGACTGCGCCTCTCTTGTCTGTCCAACCGAACATAGGCAATGCGACCATCCGCCCAAAAGCGCTCAACTCCCAAAGGCTTACTTGCTGTCACCACGAGGCCAAAACTGCAACATCTACCCGATTCTAGCTGCGAGCTACTGTGCCTTGTGATATAACTTTGCCGACGCTGCCGATTAATGTCCCAGCAGCGGCATTGGCCTCCTTGGCAGGAGATGCTGGACCAGGCAAGGATGCGAGAGTCATGTAGCAGGGGTCTCTGCAGTCTTGCGCTTGTGCGCAGAGTGCAGTGTCGGAGACTCCCAGAAGGGCTGAAGAATTGGAAGAATTGCAGCATCTTGCGACATGCCTTGCCTGCCAGGCTTCCCGCTCCAAGGCCACCACATGGGAGATAAGTTGCTGGGCGGGACAGGCGCGAGTCGCAAAGGGCAGAAGCCACACTCCTTCTGCCTCGGCAGGGACTTCTCGGGGCCAAGGCACGGTGCAGACTTTTTCGGGCTTTGTAAACATCGAGCTGGTTTTTCAATGCATTTTTATCTGCAACGGCAGCTCGCCGGTGACTCTCATGAGCACCAGAGGACTGACTCTACTGTGCTCGTTGCAGGGCATAGCGAGGGGAGGGAGAGGTGGTGGCTGCCGCTTGCAGGGCAAAGGCGGAGCTGGCAAAACGATGCCCAAGAGCTGCCTCCCGAGTTCGAGTTGGCGTATCCAGGGTTCGTTGTGGGAATCTCTGGCTCTGTTGCAGAAAACACCCCAATCTCTGTAGCCTGGCACCTTTCGGAGACATCTGAAGGCTGAGAAGGGGTATAGTATGGCATTGAATAGCACAGGAAGTGTCGGCATGAATCCCGCCCGACTGAGGTCCTACCCGGAGCTCGGTGCTTCGGCAAGACAGCTCAACAAGGCACTGTCGGCTCCTATTTGTTGGCCTCTCTAAGTTTTTGCGTAGCATCTGCCTGACGTTTCGTGATGGCCACGGCAAAGCACTGCCACACAAGATCCAAAGCTTGGTAGACTTTGGCCATGGTTGCAAAGATTATATTAAGGAGTTCATCGCGGGGTTTCCAGAATGCCGAAATCTTTCTGCTTCGACTTCCATCCAGAATGCAGCATGTAGCGACCGCTGGAGTGTTCAGGCGCCCGAGCTTGACGAATCGGACTCGATCGAAGGCACGACTCCCACGTGGCACATGCCGCTTCAAACCTGCGATAGCAGGGAACTGGGTGCAGCGGGTGTAGATGCATCTGAGAGGCAAGACAGGCCACGAATGCTTCAGCGAGCAGTTTTGTCGGCACCCGAGCTTCCTCTCAGCATCCATTCAAGAACGGAATCCGAAAGAAGAATTCGGCTGCAGCTTTGACACGTTTTAGGAATGTGCGGGTAGATGTTCCAACAGCCTTTCTTCCGCATCCCAGTAAACAACCTCGCTTCGAAGGGAGAGGCAAGCATTCTAGACATGTTTCGCTCCCGGTGCGATGCTGTTTCCATGCTGTAAAGCAGCACATTCACGGAGATGTATGCCGTCTTCGCAAACAGGACTCTCGTGTCTTTCTGTATGTGCATAGGCACATCTAAAAACGGCACAGAAGCACGCTCCACAACCACTCTAACCTCAAGTCGGTTAGGAGCCCCCCCAAGCCCTAAAACTGAAAGGAAGAAAGCAAACCCCCAAGTCACAGCAAGCAAAGCCCCTAGAACCAGCCTTGCATCGCATACATATATGTACATATATGTATATATATATATATATATATATTATATGTATATGTATTCCAGCCCGGGCTTCCAAGCCCTTGCTGTGCCGCTCAACCTTCTGACCCTTCCCGGTAGCACGCTAAACCTCAACCCGGAACGGCCCAAAACTTGAAACCTTCCTAATCCCGAAACCCTAAGCCCCTAAGCCCTTCACCCACCCATCCTTGCAGATGGCAGAAGAGCCGGAGGATCCGGCCGAGGAGAGGAGGGTCGTGGAAACAACGTGCAGTAGCAACAATACGAAGACTGATAATGACAATAATGGGTATAGTGATAGTAATTTTAGTAGTAGTAGTAGTAGTAGTAGTAGTGGTGGTGGTAGTAGTAGTAGTAATAATTGTAGTAGTAGTAGTGGTGGTGGTAGTAGTAGTAGTAATAATTGTAGTAGTAGTAGTGGTAGTAGTAGTAGTAGTA